CCACTTAGGCACACACACATCTGTGGGGCCAGATGGGATCCACCCACGGGTACTGAGGGAGGTGGCAGAAGTGCTCACCAAGCCCCTTTCCATCATCTGTCTGCAGTCCTGTCTCACCAGGGAGATCCCCATTGACTGGAGGTTAGCCAGCATGACACCCATCTGGAAGAAGGGATGGAAGGAGGATTCGTGCAACTACAGGCCTGTCAGTCTGACTTTGGTGGTGGGTAAGTGTGGGTGGGAACATAATGTAAAAGGATTAGGAAAAGGCTGAGGTACTTAATGAACTTTTTGCCTCAGACTTTATAAGTAAGAGCAGTTGGTGCCCAGCCCCCTGAGCTGGAAGACAGCGATGGGGAGCAGAATGAAGCCCCCACAGTCCAAGGGGAAATGGTTAGCGACCTGCTGCACCACTTAGGCACACACACATCTGTGGGGCCAGATGGGATCCACCCACGGGTACTGCGGGAGAGCTGGCAGAAGTGCTCACCAAGCCCCTTTCCATCATCTGTCAGCAGTCCTGTCTCACCAGGGAGATCCCCATTGACTGGAGGTTAGCCAGCATGACACCCATCTGGAAGAAGGGATGGAAGGAGGATTCGTGCAACTACAGGCCTGTCAGTCTGACTTTGGTGGTGGGTAAGGTTATGGAGCAGATCATCTTGGTGGACATGCCCAAAAAGTTGTGGTGAATGGAGTTAGATCCAGTTAGCGGCCACTCACAAGTGGTGTTTCCCCAGTGATCAGTATTGAGGCCAGTTCTGTTTAATATCTTTATAAATGACCTGGACAGGGGGATCAAGTGCACCCTTAGTGAGGTTGCAGATGACACCATGGAAAAGGACCTGGGGGCGTTGGTCAGCAGCTGGCTGAATATGAGCCAGCAGTGTGCCCAGGTGGCCAAGAAGGCCAACAGCATCCCGGCCTGCATCAGGAACAGTGTGGCCAGCAGGACTAGGGAAGTGATTGTCCCCCTGAACTGGGCACTGGTGAGGCTGCACCTCGACTCCTCTGTTCAGTTCTGGGCCCTTCACTACAAGAAAGATGCTGAGGTGCTGGAGCGTATCCAGAGAAGGGCAGTGGAGCTGAGGAATAGTCTGGAACACAAATCCTGTGAGGAGCAGCTGAGGGCACTGGGGGTGTTCAGCCTGGAGAAGAGGAGGCTCAGGGGAGACCTTATCGCTCTCTACAACTACCTGAAAGGAGGTTGCAGAGAGGTGGGTGTTGGTATCTTGTCTCAAGTAACAAGTGATAGGACAAGCTGAAGTGGCCTCAAGTTGCACCAGGGGATGTTCAGATTGGATATTACGAGAAATTTCTTCACTGAAAGGGTTGTCAAGCATTGGAACCTCCTGGGCACTTGCCCAGGGAGGTGGTTGAGTCACCACCCCTGGAGGTATTTGAGAGATGTGTGGATGTGGTGTTTAGGGACATGGTTTAGTGGTGGGGGTGGCGGGGGTTGGGTGAGAAGTGGAGGTGGTTAAAGGTGCTTTTCAACCTAAATGGTTCTATGATTAGAATGCTCACACTCTGAGAAATCCAAGACATTTTTGATGTGAGCAGGAAGTCATGATAAGCACTGCTGAAGTCTTGGTTTTCTATTGCCCCAAACATTTCTGAAGCACTGCAAAAGTTACTTCACAGCAGTAGACATCTGACCTTCATTGGATAAAAAAGACTGCATTTTGGAATTGCTTATTTGCTTGGTAATAGCTCTTGGAATCTCCTATTGTTTGTTTATTCCCTGAGTCTTTAACTTAACTGTGTGCTCAAATTTGGTTAGGAGGTGTGAAAATTCCTTAGAGGGCGTTTTACTGGCTCAGTGAGAACATGCAGAACAGAGGCTGCCTTTGAATGCTCAGAGCCCTGTGCCAGGACTGATGGCTTGGCAATTCCAGGGCTGCTCTCATTCTACTGCAGGTTAACAACACAGAGGATGAAACTTCACTCAGTGCATAGCTTATACACTTAAAAAATACTCGTGCCTTTGTGAGGTGTAAGAGGCGGACTGGTTTTCAATTGATATAGTCTTCGTTGGTCTAACTCCAGTTTGTAACTTCATGTAGCATACTGCTACGTGCTTGCGTGTGACATGTTTTTTGTAAAATTTTCAAGAAAAGAGTACTCGTCTTAAATAGAGGCCACCCACCCCCAACACACATTTAAAATCACTATACTGGTTTTCATTAATGCACATTGGCTTGCACAGATACCGTATGCTGCATTATGCGAAGTACCCTACGTACTTACACAGCATACCTTCCCCATAACACATTTTTTAAATTTTCCTCTGATGCTGCCATTCTTAAACACAGAACACTTCAACACAGAGCTAATTCAGACCCTTTGAACTCAAGCCCAGAAGTTCTAGTTGAATGCAGATTAATATAAATATTTGTGCAGTTTTCCCCACTTTTACAACAATACAATTGTGAAATCCTAGCCCCATGTTCTTCAACTTAATTGAAGAACATTTCAAGAAAATATATTAATTTAAAGAACAGAAACAACCATACTATTACAGGTAGGAAAAATAAAATAAAATAAAATATAACACGTTGTTTTTTCTATAGTCTAGAAACCCAGAAATGTTTTGTACATGGAGAATCAGAGAGAATGTAGATCATAATACTGGCTACTCACTATTTAAAACATCCTAATTTAATGATTTTTAGAAACAACTACATACTCAGTGAAACTGAACTTTGTTCTATTATGTAGCATATTTTTGGTCAATAATAACTAAATCATACGTAACATATATCTTATCATATTAGTTACTTACTTCCCATAAATATTTCAATTAAATGACTTGCTGGAGAATGAATATCTAAGAGCAGGGAGGGGGAAGGAGGAAATAAGCTGGTAGACATGGGTGGTGAAAAAACAAAACTGAAACAAGTAAAGTATCCGAACTGGATGAAAATGAAATTAACTATCTGATTGGAACTTCAGTAATATCGTATAGTGCTTGCAATGGAAATAAATTCTATTTTATCCATTTGGGAAGGGGAATATTGACATTTACAGGCAATCTGAAAATGTCTTGATAAAATGCTAAATAGAATGTATATATACGTAACAAATTTACTGTAGAGATAATGTAGAATAGCACAAACTGACAGAGGAAGAGAGAAATAGAAGTGTCAATTAATGTTTTTGTCTTAACTTCTCCTTGATTTTTTTCAGCTTACTATAACATGCCAGTTCTACTTTTGTCATTTCCCTAACCCCTTCCTCTTCATTTTAAACAAACACAGAGAGAGATAATCACAGATGATAAACAGATCTTGAAGAATTAAAAATCTATTTCAGTCCACTGAAATATACATCATTAAATAATTTCACATCTTAGCAATGGTAGCTTGAATTTTAAGGATAGAGAATTAACTTTGTTGCTGTTGTTGCTTTTTAATTTGGCATTAATTTTTTAACATAATGTAAAAAATGTAAATAGGTAGTAGATTGCCATAGTCATTATTCAGCTGCCCTTCCTGCCCCCCAGCTCAATATAAGTAAGGAATCAGAAAGGGCAAAGTAGTGATATTAAACCTCCTCATACATAGGACTGACCATAATTAACTCTTACCTTTGGGAATCACTATAATATATTAAATTATCATCTACCACCTCAAACATAGAAGTCTGCAAACAGGCTTGTAATTTTTGCCATCCATTTTCATATGCCTTCCATGGAAAGTGAAAATAAATTTGAAGTCCAGTATATTAAAAAAAAGGCCTAGAATGCAGATCTCTCACTGCTCAAAAGACTGTCAATGGATTTGTTGATAATTGAAATTACAATAAATAGCTGTGAAGTTTTTCATTTTTACAGCAGAACTGGAAAAGCAGTATGCCAGCCAGCCAGAACACAGCGAAGGAATAGCATCATTTCCTCAGGAAAAGACATTATAGAACAAGTGATAAGGCTGGAAACTAGGCATATCACATAAAAGGAAAATTAAAAGTAATTTATAACTTTTAGTATTATATTCTCACTCGCAAAGGTTGGATTGTTACGTTATATTCTACCAAAAAAAGTACAGAAAGCTTATATGAAATTAAAATTTCAAAACCTATCTGTATTGAAATAGCAGTGTGATAAACACAGAAATACAATTCAGAACATTAAAAATTCCAACATGTATTAAGAATTGACTGATGATAACGTTTGTATTTTAGAACTAAATTGGTCACATTTTTAGAAGCGGTATGTATATTTTACCTATGGATATTTCAACTGATTGTTACTGTGTAACATGAACGGTCCATTTTTGGTTTTAAGGTACAATGAAACAGCAGAGTTAATTCAGCCAAGTTTTAGCTAAAAATTGGCTGTGGATTTAGTAAAAACATTTCATTTTGTATCACTATTTTCTCTATGTGAAACTATTTCACCTTTGGACACCGCTGTTTCAAAAGGCATCTTTTAAGAACTGCCCTTGCTGGGTGTGAAAAGGCCACTAGAGATGACCAGCCAAAGTAATGTAACAATGTCTGACAACTAATGCAATCGCAATTTCTCGTACAGGGATCGCTGTCAGACTAATTTCAACTTCAATAAAAATTAAGACTGCACCAAGCAAACCATAATATTCTCATTTACTGCATTTTTATCTATGTTAACGAAAACAGTAATGTGAACCACCTTAGGAGATTTCTTTGAGGGTTTTCCTTAAGGTATTCATTATTCATAAATGCTACTGTTCCTTCTCTCCATCTCCCCTCCAGTTGAGTAAAAGGATGAGAGTTTTGGTCGCAATGGTTCCGTGCACGGGAAAGAGAAAGCGCACGATGCATGAGTGGGGAATGACGCGCTCAGGTGTCTTTTGGAAAGCGCTCACAATACAGACACACCTGTGTAGGATAGCTACTCCAAATCTGTGCTGAACGCCTGTATCAACTCACACCTTCCTGTGCTATTCATGAGATTTCAGAAATCAGATAAAGCCTTATTTTCCTCAAGACCTTGATTCTATACAAGTCATACTTGTTCTTACCTGTAGCAGAGCTGCAAACAAATACACCGCTATGAAGATCGGAGTTAAGGAAGTGTGGCCGCTCTTCATTAAGTGGATAGTGTACAAGAAAATCAGGTGTCCAGGAATCACCAAAAGAAGCAAAACTTGGGCTGATTTGTTATTTACTCCTAGAATTAAGAAAAAAAAAAATCCAAAATTCAGTTAAGAACTTCAATTACTAGATCAGATTTTTATTAACTTTAATATAAAAAGCAGTTTTGGAGTTCTACAGCACTGACTATTGTGGGACAGCAGACATTATTTTCTGCTAAAAGACTCCTTAAGGATTTTCATGGGGGCAAAAAAGCCACCCTTACTGTCTGCCAGAAAAGTTAAGCAGGGCCCTTGCAGAAGAGGGTACAAACTGTCTGCTTTCATTCTGCACTCATGTACCACCATCTCCTTTTCTGGAGCTGCAGTGACCTTCTAAAGCCTTCCTAGGAAGGGGGAGGTTTTGGGCACCATATTCAAGACATCCTCAAAAATACCATATATTTCTAAAAAGTAATGCCACATTTACCATTTTCTCATCTGTTCCAATGAACATAAACATGAAAGCATCAACAGGCTGTTGACACATCACATTTCACCACAGTTCCTACATTATTAGGAAAGGGGGGCAGTAGAGGGGAGGGATAAGCTGTGAGGCAAGAACCTAGAAAGAAAATGGCACATGGGAAACGGAGAGCAGGGACTCGGCCCAGTCATAACGTTAGATATGAAGTTTGGTGCTAACAGGAGATTGGTTTGAACTTCTGGAGTTAAATGACAAAGGTTGGGAGCAGGTAAACAAACCGCTGCAGGCAAAGGAAACTGCCAACCCTCGGCTGCCTTTGAATGGCATACAGGTTCAGGTTTGTCGGCATTTCTCACTGGTGATTCAGCCCGGTATACAGGGGGGAAACGAGGAGACGTGAGACAGCAGTTTTAACAGTTAACTGACTAATACATACCCGAACCACAATAGGTTCTGCATGGATAATAGCAACCCTTGGCTTCTTCTGGCAGTTCTCCGGGAATGCTGTGTAAATGGAGGTAGGTAGAAATTCTGCTAGCTTGAATAGCTACTAGATTACCACCAATACCTGAAATGGAAAAGGGAACAAGCCCTAAATTTTCAACTTCGGGTTTTTTTTTCTTCCAGTAGGCATAATTTTTTGCAAATTTACCAAATTCCTCTGTTTACCACAGTCTCCTGCATACGAAAGCCAAAAATAGAACTATCTTTAGAATGCATATTAGTTATAGATAGCCTATATATATATATTTATAAAAGACACCAAGCATTGAAGCAGGTCAAAAAACTTGGGCTACAATTTGGTGTATCACTGGATAGTTGGAATATCCACATTGGAAATGTGGAGATCAGTTTTAACTCATGATAAGTACAAAAGATTCCTCCAAAATGTTCAATCTCATGCTTTTTCAAAGGTGATGCTCCCTTTTATTGCTCCCTCTCCTTTGGAAATCCTTCTTGGAACAATAGAAGTGCTACATAGCTGTGCCACTGCTGGATTACCCTCCTAGGTCCATATTGATGGCAAATATACGTAACAGAAAACAGATGCACTCCCTACCACAACCATAAATGCAAATTTCACACACAGAATCATAGGGCTGGAAAGGACTTCAAGAGTTAATCTATCCACTCCTCTTTGCCACAGAGCAGGATTAACTATAATCTTCTGCCATTCATAATTCAGGTTGAAAGGACAAGTGTCTGAATAACTGATTCTTCAAAGAATGGTAGTGATGGAGATTCTATCTTCTCCATGACAACTGTTGATATACTTCCCATTAGAAAAAAAGATTTCTATAGGACAATTTCTATGAAAGAAACCACCCTAGGATGCGAAGAAGTGGCTGGCATTGTTACAAGACCACTGTCTTTGAGAAATATAGAGATCAGGGTATACCCCTGATGACTGGAAGAGGGCAAATGTCACACCCATCTCAGCAAAGCATTTGACAGTTTCCCACCATTTCCTCCTAGGCAAATTGGCGAATTCCAGACTAGATGGGTAGTTTGTGAGATGAGCAGGAAACTGGCTAACAGCTCACTCTCAGAGGGTGGTGATCAGTGTTTTTTACTCAGGCTGTCACAAGTGAGGTCCCACAAGGATTGATCCTGGGCCCCACACTGTTCAACATGTTCAAAAATGACCTGGATGAAGGGACTGAAAGCACTCTCACCAAGTTTGCTGATAACACTGAACTAGGTGGTGAGGTGGACGTGTCAGAAGGGAGAGCCATCTTACGGCGAGACCTGGACAGGCTGGAAGAGTAGGCTAACAAGAACACTATGAAGTTTAACAAAGACAAGTGCAAAGTCCTGCCCCTGAGACAACAGAACCAAAAAGCCCACTTTAGGCTGGGATCTGTGTGGCTGGGGAACAGCCCTGCTGAAAGGGACCTTGGGATCCTGGTGGAGATGAATATGAGTCAGCAGTGTGCTGCTGCAGCAACGAACGCAAATCAGACCCTGGGCTGCATCCCTCTCTACTGCAGAGATGGAGACATGATCATCCCACTCCACTCAGCACTTGTCAGGCCGCACCTGGAGTACTGTGTCCAATTCTGGTTCTCCACAATTCAAGAAATACATGGATAGACTGGAGAAAGTCAAGAGGAGAGCCACAAAGATGACCAAGGGGCTGGAGAACTTCCCTATTAGGAAAGACTGAAGAAGTTAGGCCTTTTCTCCCTGGAGGAAAGTAGGTTCAGGGGAGACCTCATCACAGTTTTCCAGCACTTAAAGGGCAGCTACAAAGAGGACAGAGGCTCTCTTTTTCACAAGGAGCCACCTGGAGAGGACAAGGGGCAAGGGGTACAAGTTGCACTGGAATAGGTTTCACCTCAATGTAAGAATGAAATATTTTACAGTGGAGGTTTTCAAGAGGGGACTGGACAGGATGCTAAGTAATCTCATCTAGGCTCCCTTTCCCAGAAAAGGTTGGACCGGATGATCTTCTGAGATCCCTTCCATCCTGGGCTGTTCTACGTTCTATGGATTTTTACCTCAGTGAACAGAAAACTAAACCAGCTTGTTATATCCACATTACAGAATGCAGTGGCACTAGCATAAAATTCTCCTACTGTTGTTATACTCTAGAGTTGTCTACTTGCATATCGATCATACACTTCTTTTTTTCCAGAACTCCAAAATTTCCAGCCTCACCACTCCTTAAAGACAATTAATGGTGGAACGTAACAAGGAAGCAGGACTTTTAAGCAAAAGGCTTCAAATATAAATCAGGAAATGAGGTATAAGAAAAAATCATGGAGTTGTCAGAATGGATGCTTTGTCAAAGTTACCTGCACTTTCCCTCCCCCTGATATAGGGACAAAATATGAACAACTGAAAGACAGAGTCTGTCTTTGGAAAGAAAATTAAAATAACAGTAGCCTTTTTTCAGACAAACTACAGAAAGAGAAGTAAAATAAGGGATTTATATAAACTAAAAAAGGGGTTTAAACAGATTTTACAAAATCTAAGTAAAGTCCAAAGTCTGTCTTTTCATTGAGAACAATAAATTTGAGACTTCTGACTAATGAGAATTAGGTATGGGGAGGGAGGCAGAAATGAAATTAAGGATCAATGCACTACATTTGATGGAGATCTGCTGATTTCTGTGACTGAATTACAAAAAAGCTGTTATGTAAAACTGCTTCTTAATAAAGCTACAAAGCTAGGGATGGTACCATATGACTAGAAAATATGAAAGTTTCTGCTTAAAAAAGAGGGGATAAACACAATCTGGGTAATTATAAGCAGGCTAACAACTGTAATAACTGATACATTCAAAGCAATATTAAAAGAAAAAAATAGTAAACCCTTCTCTCACTATCCCTATTTATTATAGCACTATGAGAAGAAATACAAGATAGAAGTAAATAGGGCTGTTTCTCAAGGTATGTTTTGAGGTTTGTAGCAATGCAACCATAAACCATATTAGCACAAAAGAACAGATTTCAAGTATTTCCTAGGATGTATGCAATTTCCTTCTGTGACTGATAATTATCTGCTTCAACAAATTCAGACAATCAGAAATATGATAGATGATCTGGACCTCTTTAAAAGGAAACCAAGTGAGAGAAATTAATTAAGGAAAATGTAAATTTTCTCATTTGAAATGGCAATATAAAAACCTGTCTGGACAACAGAGAGAGACAAGTCTATGACAGAAGGTATGAGATTGGTTGTCCATCCTTGGGTAGCTATGAATCAAGAATATTTTTACTTTTATAACCATCATTTAAGGAAAGTATGGCCCAAGCCCTGTTGTGCACGTAGATAACAAGAAAAATGAATGAAAAGTAGTAATAGTGATTCTAAAACAAACTGGCCAGCCACTGATAAAAAGACTTTGCAAAGGAAGCTGACATGTTAACTGAAACAGCCAGCGTGAAGTGTGACTTCAGAGAGTGTAACAGTCTAATTTCTATTTAACGACAACCAAGTTGAACATATACAATCTATTTTAGCTAACTGGAAATGCAATCTTCATATGTTAAATGCCATTATTTTAGGTTTCATTTGGTCTGTGTCTCAATAATCTAGTATCAGTAGTATACGGATAGTTTTAAACTCACAGAAGACAGGCAGGTGCCCTGAAGTGTAAAAAGCTTCCAGAATCTATACATCCCCCTCAGTCTCAACCAGCCAACAATGTATGTAACGGACAGCAGCAGCCACGCTGTCTTCTACTTCTGTCCACCCATCTGCCAATTCTTCCTTCTAACTAGTCTTGAACCTTTTGACCAATTTCAGCCACGTCTGACACAAGGATTCCTAGAGATACTAACTGCCTCCAAGTATGGTTAAACAAGTTAATAAAAAAGAAACAGTGGCCAGGTAAATAAAGATTCAAACCCAAGCCCTCAGCGAGACAAAGGCAGTAGTTACAAGTATATATACACACACACACATATATAGTGTATATATATTTATATATATATAAATATATGTGTATGTATGTATGTATAAAACACAAAGTATAGTCACAGCATAAGCATGCCAGCTGGTCAGTCAGCGCCTGGCTTGGCTAAGCACGATGCCTTTTGCTCAGCCAGTAGTTAAGTGACACAGTGGAGGAATGATGATGCTGTGGAAAGCAGAGGGAGAATGGAGAAGATGCTGTGAGCAGTGGGTATTGCAAGGACAGGAGACCATAGAGAACACTAGGGCTGAAAGAGCTATCTGTGGCTCTAAAAACTCAGGATACAAATCAGCACTGAATCAGATTCCATTATTCTGCTGGTCGTAGAATGATTTGTATAAATCTGTGCTTGCATTGAATGAATCACGTCAATATGTACAGAGACATTCAGTATGTTTTGTAACAGCAGTTAATGTGCATGTGAAGTTATCTCAGCAGTATCAGATTAATCAGATGTCTGCAAGAAGCAGAAAACAGATAAAACTGTGTAGGTTGAGAAGATGTCAATACACAAAATTGACAGCTTCTCAGCATCTTCTGAATGCATAAAATGGTCGTGTGCTCAGCTGCTGCTCATGTTATGAAAAATCTCTGTAGACATATATGAGGACTGTTCCCATGAATATTAAAGTCACGGGTTTTTTTCCTGGAAAACAGTATTGCAGTCATCATAGCAAATACTTTTAATAAAGACTAACTTCGTTACCTTCCTTTCATTCTCATGAGAACAACACAGAGGAAAATAATTTATTTCTAAAGTAAAATCCTGCAACTGTTACTGCATTTCTCTCAGAACAGCAGATGTGCTTAACTTCAATGAGAGTGCTGCTTTCTCAATAAGCAGAAGAGACGTTGCCTGTTAAAGTGTGAAGGATGTCATGCTGACTTACAACATTAAAAGAAAATTGAAAACTTCATCATTTTATCAAGCCAGTTAAGGGCTAAGCAAGAATAAATACTTCTGAAAATTGTTATCACAGCTCTTTTTTGTCTAACAAGCACGGAAAACCATATTCAAACTAGAGCCAAAACCATGTCATGCATTTTCAAATAGACCTACAGGCGTGATTCTATTAATCATTATCTGGAAAAAGGACTTTTTTCTAATAATAGAAATAACAACATTATTCTGAAAAACACATTAA